GTGGCTAGATAGATGAGGAAGGAGCAGTCAGTGAGCTTATCCAGACTCATCCTCATAGAGAACAACTATTAATCTGTAATTACCAGTTGTAGAGAGTTCCTACAATATTCTGTACACTTCTTTAAATCACAGGACACTGTGAACTCTCCCTCTTCTGAAATAGAATGTACACCCAGCGAATTTATACAAAAAGGGACAAGGGAGCAAGGTTATTCCTACATCTGTTGGAATGGACAGGATCTTATCTGATTGTTGCTGGAGTAAGTCTTGTGGAAATAACCTACAATAATAAAATGCATTTGTGACACACCATGATAGGAAAACTTATAGGGAACCAGGAGCATGGCCATCTCGCGTGACTTGTTTTGAAGGGCACTGCAATCACAATTTAGGATGTGTATATGTGCATAGGTATATACATAAAAAAATGCAGTTTACAGCTCTTTTATTTAGGATATGTATATTTGTATCATGACTGGGCACAAGAAATCCTGATCAAATATAAAAGAGTGTGTGCTCTCTCTCTCTCTGCAAAGTAATCTATTGGGGCATGATCCTGCCAAAGAACCTTTAAATCTCATTGGCTTCAGAAGGGAGAGATTTTAAGTACCGTATTTTTTCGCTCTATAACACGCACCCGACCATAACACGCACGTAGTTTTTAGAGGAGGAAAATCCGTAGGCATGCCACCCGTAGGCATTCCCTCCATAACACGCACAGACATTTCCCCTTACTTTCTAGGAGGAAAAAAAGTGAGAGTTATGGTTCAAAAAATACGGTATATGTCTAAGACTCCCACTGATACCCTTTGGGTTTTAAAGTGCTCTACTTGGATAAATCATGCTCAGTATTTTCAAACTGCACTTCTGAATGTGCAGCCTTAGTACAGTCTTAACAATGAATGTGCAGATTTCTCCAGGGTAATGCAAGGTGCAAATATTTAATTTCCAGTTCCAAGATCACAATCACATTCTATACACTTACAAAAATAATGTAAAGGTCATTTTTGCCAAGATCATTTTTGTGCCAAGTTATAAAACCCCAACAGGGAGCATCCTAGATGCTCTGACATATGTTCATAACAATTATTGTGTGAAAGGCGCCACTATAATGTGTATCCAAGAATGTTCCTTTGTGTGCCAATTTCAACATGATTAAAATGGGTAAAATATTGATACTGAAGACTACCTGTGGTCCTACATCTATATGCAAAGCATTATGATAAGCAAAATAACTCTTAGCTAAAATAGTGGTCACAAGAACATTCAAATTTTAAGGTTGCTTTTTGGTTCAGACACCATACTAAGTGTATTCAGAAGCTCAGGGTAAACACAATCAGCTCTGCTATCCACATGATTATGGCACATGAGATTGAACACCCAATAAGACTTACGTCTCTTGAAAAAATGGCCTAAGAAAAAAACATATGAAAATAATCATTATTCCATTAGTATGTTCATTTCATGGAAAAGGCTTTGAAAGTACGCAAATGAGGTAGGGCCCTAGTGATACGGCTTATTGGCGAAAACCATTTCCTCAGAAATAATGTACACAAATCAAAAACCAAACGCCTTGTCTGGGGAATAGGTAGGAAAGCATGGGTGGAGGAGGGCGTAGAAATATAAACAATGTCTCAGACTATGAATTATTCTGCTAATCCCAAGGGCTAGATTTACAAAATATCTGACCAGTGTTTAAATTTTTAACCTTAAATTGAATACTGATTAGAACGTTTTTTAGAGAGGAGATCATAGACCAGTGAGAAATCAAACAACTGTCATGTAATTTTTTTTGAGGGGGTAGGGGGAAGCGGCGGGGAAGGGAATAATTATATATAAAACTTTTAGCTGAGTTAATCAAGCAAAGTGAATCAATGATCTAAAAGAGGTCAGTTACATAATCTAATTGCACATTGTAATTTCTCAATGAAACGTCTAATATTTTCCCTTAGATTTTATTATATCTGTGCAGTTAAAGTTAGTCATTCCTAAGGAGGCCATCCTAAACTTGTTTACATAAATTCCACTGAATTCACTGGTATGTATTTCTGATCAATTCTTGTTATGGCATCTCATCTCTTTCCTTCAAAGAGCGCAAACTCCATAGCACAGACATAGTGAGGCTGCGTATACAGCATACATTTAAAGCACATTCTTCCCCAACCATCCAAAGAATCCTGAGAATTGTAGTTTACCCCCCCCCCACAGCAACAGTTCCCAGCACCCTTAGCAAACTACAGTACCCAGTATTCTGGTGGGGGGGGGGTTCTTTAAAATGTACAATGAGTACGCAGCCGGAGGATCATTTTGCACTTTTCTGTGAAAGCTCAGTGGTTTAGAGCACAGTGCCACCCGCATCCCTTATCTGGCTATCTAGGGTAATGTTGTGGCCAGGAGCCATCTCAAGCTGTGGATCCAATTCTTAAGAGGTGTTAAGAACTTCTAAGACCAGCTATTCTATTGGATAAAAGCATCTCTGTCTCAGCTTTAAGCATTAACCCACAACCAGTTCATTACTGAAGTGAACCTTTGTTTAGGACTTCCATTTTCTTTCTAGAACTAAATGGAAAGGAGAGGAAATGGTATCATCAGCATAATGTGAATGCCACACCACATCCCAAATCTCTAGACATCCTTACACAAGAGCTCATATATATGTTATGTAGAACTGGAAACAAAATGTGCTGGATCCCTAAGTCTAAGCCCATGGGGTTGAGCAACGGCTTCCCAGTACCACCATCTAAGATCTGCTTTCCGGGAAGAACTAGAGTCATTATAAAACAGTGCATACAAGCCACATCCTGGGCAGGTGATTTAGATGAATATTAAGGTCAATTACACTGAAAGTAACTCATAGGGCAAAAAGAATCACGAGGGACCATCTTTCCCAGGTCAGTTCCCATGGAAGATCATGCACAAGGGCAAGCAATGTTATCTCAGTCTACAGGGTGGAAACTAGAAATTTGAAAAAAGGGAAAAGGCAATCTATAGGCAGAAGTATTGCTAGGAGAAAATATGTACATAAATTTATCACGCACTGTTTTGCTACGACATTCCTTTAACAACTAACACTGGAAAATTAACATAATAGGCCGTCTTCCATCAAAAGGAAGGGAAACATTGTATCTTGTATAATTACGTGTTATTTATATTTTAAACAAATTCCAATTGTATTACTAATGGTAAACAGAAACACTGTTTTCTGCCCCAGAGGCTAAAGTTGTTTGCTTGCACAGGACATTACTACACACAGTGAAGAGTGCTCTTCCTGACTTAGATGAATCACACTCTTTTGATTTCTTAGGTCTAGTAATTTAAAATTGAACTAGAGTGAAGTTATAGTGGTGTTTGTATGAAATTTTCTTCCAGGCCACAAGTATGCATCTATTGTACTGACTTGTTGTCCATGAATTTAATGCTGACGGCTATGAGCTTGTGGATTTCTTCAGTCACATCCTGCCCTGTCAGGTTTTGTAAGAGTCTAGTCACTGGGTATTAACTACTGGAATTATACTGGACATCACATGAGGCACAATATATTGTAAACAGAAATTCTTTCTCGTTATTTTAATTACACATGTGCAATGCCCCTAGTCTTGGAAGCCACAGGCTACATGAAAACTTTAAGAAGCAATTGCCAGATCACATAGCTAGCCTTCCACCAAAGCAGATTTTCTGATTACTATGAAGCATTTTGCACTAATATTAATATTTTAAAGACACAGAATTCACAGCATTCCTACCTGACGACCATGCTAACTTGACTTTGTAAACGTTTTTAGTGAAAACTCACTTGTTTACAGAGTTAGATTAGAAGAAGCTGCTTCCATTTTGAAAGTTTGGTACACATGCATCCAATCTAAACAGTATTTAATTTTCAAAGTGTATTGTGAGCATCTGTACCTATAAAAAGAATTTCTTCATAGATTAATAGAAAATACTGTTGCACTCGGGTCCTGCTTAAAAGGGTTTACCATAGGCATTTTACAGGTAACTGTGAGAACAGAATGCTGGACTAGATAGGCTCTTCTTAAGTTTTTAGGAAGTCATTTACTTCTAGAATAGAGCCAGACAGTAGAAAGACTAGGTCCTATTTACATGTAATGGAAAGCCATGGTCAGAAACATACAATGGTTTACCACAAATGAGCAGTATGCTGGTACACACTGTGCAAATCACTGCACTGCTGCTACCTTTTTCCGTGCCAGCTGTGATCCCAAGAAAATCCCCACCACACCCCAAATTTAGGGGGGAAACCTCCTTAGTAAAAAATTTCCACTGGGATAGCAGGCAGGGAAAGGGTTAAACATCTCAATGCGCTCCATGCTGATGAAAATCATGCTTTTAACTGTAACATAAACCAACCCACTATGCATTTGGGTTTATGTCTAAATATGACCATGAATTGAATGAATTCTGAGTAAGACAACCAAATCTCTGACAAGCTTTGTTCTTTAAACTAGTGTGTTTGCAAAGTGTGGTATGCAGATGGGGGTACATGAAATGGCTTCAAAGGGTATTATTAAAACTAAATTCTCACAAGAAGGGATCTCAATTAATATAGAGGTATACAAGCACTTATTATCAAATTTCCAGAAAACCACAACTTACCCTATAAAAAGCAGTTGTTAGTGGCAGCAGTGCTGCAGCAATGTTGTACTCTTCTGACGTTGAACAATCCTTCAAGTTGAAACAAAAAGAGGGGAAGTTAGCAAGTTATTCTAATCAGCTTGCAATTTCAACTGTAATTATTAGGATTACCCACAGAGAGCTTTGAAGACGAGAAAGATCCCTACTCAATCATGATAGAAGCAAATGTAGCCTCCTGGTAGTTCTTTAAAAAACAACCCTGAAACAATCTGGAAAACAGAAAAACTTCCATCTGAGATGTCTATTTACATCTAACCAATCCTTTTGGTACCTATATTATAATAAAGCCTCTTTACACCCCAGATTGCATCAGTGTAGCCAGGTACAGTGTGGTCAGTATATTTGTGTCAGTGCGCCAGGTAGCTCAGTTGGTTTAGAGTATGGTGCTGATAATGCCAAGGTTGTGGGTTTGACCCCCTTATGGGCCACCTGCATATTCCTGCATTGCAGGTTAGACTAGATGACCCACAGGGTTCCTTCCAACTCTACAGTTCTATGATTCTTTTATCTTTGTGCCTGTGTTGGGAAGTATCTGAGTTCAGAGAAGGCACCTTAGGGAAAGCCCATGTCATTTAGACAGCAAGAGACCATTTTAAAAAATAGTCTATTTGTGTAACTTGGGGATACCAGGCTGTGCCACCCCATACTGATCAGATTTCATTAAGCAGAATGAATGAGGGAACTGTAGAGCTCTGGATTATAGGTTGCAAAAGAAAAAGTAAGGCACCCTGGATTGTCACAAATTGCCAGACAAATCCAAGAAGGACATAGGTTTGACATGAAGTCACACTTCCCTCTGTATAAAATAGAAGTACTATATTAAATTGCAATAAAGAGAACATACAATATTATTTTGTGGAATTTCTTTTGAATATAGAATCCAAGTTTCATTGACAATAGTATGATTTTTAAATGCAGATGATGGTGAATAGTGTAGTAATGCCAGGCTTTATATATAAAAACACTAAGATGCTAAAATCCAGGATTCACAAACATACTTCTTGCAATGATTTCTTCCCCACTCATCTGCAATCCCAGAGACTAGATACAATAATTAGCCATAGGCTGTTTAACAACAATTGCCACTGTTGTGATGGTTTCCACTGGCCTCTAGTAATGTTTGAGATTTTCTTCCTCTTGAGCTGCATCAGCACTACTGCAGAGTTCTAGATTCTGTACGTACTTTCCTTACGCTTCTGACAATTCATTCAGTGCATTTAGATTTTGTATGCATTTTTAGTTTAATTTAGTTTCCACATGACATCAGTACATTAAAATAAATGACAAAAACCACACAAGCAACAATGTAAAGAGCACTGGAAAGCTAAATTTAGAATATTTGTTCGGATTGTAACCATTTGATTTCAATCTCCGTAAACATTTCAAAAAGTTAACTGAGCTGCCAAGAATGCAACTCAGGTTTTTCCAAAGTGAGTATAAATCAAGCGATTGCAAACCAAATTAAAATCAACCCACAATTGCAATAAAAAGAAGCAGATGGTTCTTTATGCGTTTTAGGGTTTAAATATGTATGCGTTTATTTATTCTTGCCCTTAATAATTTATACCACTATTTTCTTAGCAGCAATTAATCTACTTGGAAAGTTAATACTGGAACCTGAAAGGACCAAGAGCGTCAGGAGTGATGATAACAAGGAAATAAAAGGGATTTTAAAAAAATAATAGAGCAAGAGGAAAAAGAAAGTGTATGCTAGAAAAGGTTTAATATTCAGTATGCTTAAGTTATGGTATCAGTGAGACATCCAAGAAGGTGGGGTGAGTGGGAGCATAGTCAACTACATATATATATATTCAAAGCTGATTGTGACCTCTTTCTCTTGCTCATCAGGTTGGCCTCTACATGCCTGAGTGACTGCCACCTGGTTATGCTGCACTGTTGCCTCTTAAAATTTGTCATGTTAAGGCATCTGAAGGCAGTTCTGTTTCGGGAAGTTTTTAATGTTTTATGTTTTATCAAGTTTTTACAATTGTGCTGGGAGCTTCCCAGAGTAGCTGGGGAAACCCAGCCAGATGGGTAGGGTATTAATTATTATTATTATTATTATTATTATTATTATTGAGTACAAACCATGGAGGGGGTGGGCAGAGAGATTGGACAAATCAGACAGCAGGAGAGATGAGACAGATTAGTTGCTCCTTTGTTTCTCTTTTGCTGTAGCCATTTTAGGAAAAAACCATGGCAGGAGAGGGAATTAGAAATGGTACCATAGGAAATAATGAAAATTGTCAGGTGAGTGTTCTCATAATAAGCTAACAAACAATTTCTTAGGAACTTGGTTTTTTGCTCCATAAGCAGCAACTGTGTGTATAGTTGTTCTACATTTACTAAAATGAATCATTATTTTTCCCATTAAAACATTATCTGATGTCTTTCCTACTAATTTGTCAGGGTTTCCCCCAGTCAACCAAAAACCAAGTTCTATTCTGAAAATGATTATAAAAGGTGCATGAAGGGATATACTGTGCTACAGCTTCATGCCCAGCTGTCACACTACAATGAAATCATACTAGTTGCTCCTTCAAACAATCTCCCCCAAAACTTGACAAGCCAAACCAAAAAGCTAGGTCTGATTTATTCATGTTTATCGGATTTGTTATTAAGCTTGGAACGTACAATGGTGTTATTAAAGGCTGACTAGTCCATAGATTATCCTGTTTCTGGTGCATTCCCCAGCACAAAAATGGTTCAGGAGGAGCCAGGCATTCATAGGTTTGAGTGAATTCAAGATGGGAAGGGGGGGGGGGAATGAGGGTTGAATGCAATTTTTCACTAGTCAGACTTGGAGACAATTAGTTCTACTGCAACCCAAAACAAATTTTACCTAGATTTACCCTCAATAGTATTGTTAAGTTTTGGCAATACAAAACATCTGTCTTGAGCAGCTCTACAGTACTTTAAAACTAACAGCGGTCAAAATCAGTGATGACACTGATAGAGTAAGATTCATTGTTCCTTCATTCTTCTCTTACAATAGAAAAAAAGCTCAACCGTCACAGAAGAGTGATTTCCTACATTTCACATCAGTATTGTCACTTATTGTAACAAAAAACTATTAAACCTAAGGGCTCATGTTCTTCACTTCCCCCCCTTAAGACAATGATAAAATACAAGAATGACAGCCCCTATGTTTCTGCACATCTGAGTTTCTTTAGCAAAAATGCCATGCATGTTTCTGAAAACTGTCATGAGGCCCATAGCAATAAAGTTCAGCATACTCAGGCTGTAATCTTCTCCCAAGGAAATGGTTGGGATGCCAAGATGCCTTTTGACTTTTATTTCACAGCAGGACTTCATTCGCTGCAACTCTGTCCAAACCTTAAACTACAACATCTGTGATATACTGGCCCACAACAGAATTTGTAGAACTATTCTACAAATAGTTTTTAAATTAAGCAGTGGGATGCTTTATAACACATGACAAACTAGGAAGACAAAAAATATCAATAGACGCTGAGCATTACTGCTGCTCCAGAGGATAGGAACCAAATCAATGGATTCAAATTACAACAAAGGGGATTCCAAATAAGAATTAGGAAGAACTTTCTGATGGTGAGAGCTGCTCTGACAATGGAACGGACTACCTTAGAAGATGGTGGACTGGAAAAACACATTTTTCCCAAGATTAGGAATAGAGCAAGAAGATGGTATATGCATGATATGCACCAAGTGTGCTTCCACAGGGGGCTCATCACTAACACTACAGACACATCTTCAATTCTCCTCAAGTGGTGTGATATTTCCCTTTTACCTGAAATGGTAGGATATTTCTCCCTCATCCAGGTCTTGTTCAAGAACTGGATTCTTCCTTTTTTAAGGAAGTTGATGTCTGCAGAAGCAGCAAACAGGACTCTGAAACTTTTATTCCAGATGAAACAAAAATTTAGGAAAATGAAAATAAGAGTGATAGGCAGCTGAAAAATGTCTGCTGTAGAAGGCCTAAACATAGCATTCTGTGCTGTTAGGAGGAAAACTAAGCAGATGTTAAGTGGTTATTTTTATTAAACTAACGTGCCTATATGAAAGGTACTGTATAGAACAGAACACCTGACCTTTAATTGTCCACAAGTCACACATTTCAAATGAATTTATAATAATAATAATTTATTATTTGTACCCCACCCATCTGGCTGGGTTTCCCCAGCCACTCTGGGCGGCTTCCATAGAAACCAAAAATACACTAAAATATCACAGATTAAAAACTTGGTAGATGGCACCTGCAAGCTTTCATTAACTTATATGATAGTTATATCATAGTTAGATATCTATAGTTAGATAATGAAAGAATCCATTATTTTCCCATACATTCCTTGTTGGGTTAATATTTTGAAAGTGTGCAAGCCTACAATATAAACCTAAAGTGATTTAATTGCCATAGTTTCCTTCTCTATGTTGTACTTTTGAAAGGAATCTAGGAATGTTTAAGAATTACCAGCTACTGTTCCCAGGAATCCCAAGGGAAAGCCAGGACAGTTAAAAAGATATCCTACTTAACAGTGCTATTTTGCAAGTATGACAATGCTACAATGGAGTACAGTACATAATGAAATATAATTATTTATTTTATAAAATTTATATGCTGCTTGATTATAGAAAAAATCTCAAACCTAAACAGATGACACCAGACACAGTAGGATTGGGGGCATGTGGGTTATGGCTTTCATAACATTGGGCAACAATTTTTTACTTTTTGAATGTTGTCTAGATTTCTACAATTGATTTAGGGTATTTTTGCACTGCTGAATCAGGAAATGGCATCCGTTTCTCTCCATCAGGTCAGGTTTACTGTAAACTGAATGGTGGGCATTGATAAAGGTAAGTACACGTAAATTGCATGTTGCTTCACCCTTTTTCAAACATCAGGGCTTGAACTTTCCTTTCTTGGAACTCCTGGAATGCTCAGCGGCAGGGAGGTCTCTCTTCAGAGTCCAACAGTAGTCAGCCATCATGGCTGCGTCCCAGCGACCCTGATACCTGGTCTCCATCTCTTTCATGTCCTGATGGAATCTCTCCCCCCTGCTCGTCACTCATTGAACCCAGGTTCTCAGGAAACCGGTCCATATGTGAAAATAGGTAGTGCATCTTGACGCTCATGTTGCAGCCCAGGTTTCTGAAAGCAGTCAGCATGTTGTTGACAAGTTCTGCATAGTTTCTGGCCTTATTGTTGCCAAGAAAGTTCTTCACTACCAGAACAAATGCCTTCCATGCTTCCAGTTCCACTTCGTTCATTGACTTTCTGAACTCTGGATCTCTGATGAGCTGACGGATATGAGGACCATCAAAAATGCAAGCTTTCAACTTCTCCAAGGTCAATCCTGGAAAAGCCTGGCACAAGCAAGTGAAGCAGTCACCATCCTTGTCCAGAGCCTCGGTGAACTGCTTGATTAAGCCGAGCTTGATGTGCAGCGGTGGGAAGAG